ATCTGATAAGTGCCGCAAGTAAACTTTCAGAGATAATCAGGTGTTAGTTGAGGAAGCAATGGAATCTGAGCTTCTTCTAGAGCTATCCAATTACCTCTCTTATTGCGGAGATTTTCAACATCCACTCTAGTTTGTACAACATTTGGTTCGAGCGCTCGCTGTCGCATATTTTCAGCTAAGTCGACTGTAGCGTCTGGCATTGTTACAGGTTCAAAAAACTTATTTATTATTGCTCCTGCAATAAGAAGGAAGTCTCGAAGATGAAAAATGTGAGATGTACTAATTGAACCATCAAAGAACTTAAATATGGATTTTAAGTGTCCATTACGAGCCTCGACAATCCACCTTGATTTTGACACAATACGGGTGTTATTCGCCTGTTCGGTAGTTAATTGACTTTGATCACGATATAAGAGCGAAGGCATTTCGATTTGCAAACCAATTCTCTGTAGAGTAGAAACTGCATCACGATAACCACGATCGATAATAAAAATATCTCCACGTTGAAACCAATTGCGCATATTGTTAACATCTGTTTCAAGTTCACGTAAAAGTATTGCAGCATCATTATTTGCGGCATTGGAAAAATATGGTCCTTGTATGTCAAGAATGTAACCATCTGGTGCTACATACATAGAAGGTTTTATCAAGTGCCTACCCTTGTGAATACAATACGATTGCCTCAATACTTTAAAGCACGAACTTTTCTCAATATTTAAATAGGTATGTGCAATCATTACATACAATAGCGCGAGGTATTTCAGGCCTTGGATTATATAATCGATTTGCAAATGCAGTAATGTGCCTTTCTATATAACTGTCTCTTGTTATAGCATTAAAACCAATATTAAGTGAAACAAATCTTTGCATAAGTGATTGCCTTACAAGAGATATGGTATAACTTGTAGTTTGACGCGTAGAATAATTAAAAACTATACTCAAAAACTCATCACTTAATCCTTGGCGCATTTCACAAAGAAAAGCCAGGAGATCCTTTTTAAAGATATATCTTAAAGTATCACCAACTTTAACAGGGTCAACAAATGCAAAGAGTTCATTGAATTGTTGTTTTGTAATGGGAGATACAGCCTGAAACTCACTATCAGAAAAATCATTATCATCTTCAAATCTACGATTTGATTCGCGGGTAACTTGTTCACGCAGTGCTTGTAAAATTAATTGTAACTGGTTTCCTCGTATAACGTATGGTCTGTTTGTGAATTGTAAACCGTTTTTTAAAAATTGAAAGAGTAACCCATTGTCATCCAAGTGTTGACGACAACAAACTGTCCTTTCCGGAATATATATATTCCGTTGAACAAATATATTTATTCGACAATCTAAAGAAAGTCTGTGTACATCATGAACTGTATTGCAAATCATACAAGAATGGGATGAAGTTTGTTTTAAAACACTTAGTTTTAAGCATGAAAGATCATTTTCCAGTGCTTGTAATTCTCGTACGATCGAAAAATTGCAATTGTTGCATATCCGAGTTAGTGGTGTTATGTCAAGAGGCGGTCTCCCAGCATCAATTTGTCTGGACATAATTATTTCCTGCCTACTTGCATTATCATCACCACATAGTTTGACCATATTTCGAGGTATTAGAGCTGTTTCACATATATAACATAGTATTTGCAATCTATTAACCATTTTCTGCAAACACAAATTCTTATATAGGGAAAGAAAATGGTTTTCTTAGGCCACCGAGGCTTTACAGGTGCTGCGGTAAAAGTTTACACACGCATCAATACCCGGTTAATCACTACGCTTGTTATCGTTCAACTAACTAACTTGCCGTGAAGATAATAAATATATATTCTAGACAATAAAAACATGTTTTTATATACCAATGTTTTTATAAACATGTTTTTTTATATACCAATGAAATATTTATACTGTATATTAAAAGGCAACGTAGCAATATGTTACTTTTCATAATAATCGATTTGAGGCCGATGTCGCTCTTTGAGCTCCAATATCTCAGAACTCGTTGATTCAAGGACCACGTGCCCATTGAGACTTTTGATCAGGACATCATAAACTACAACATACTAAATTTTCAGCCATTTTGACCGAAAGTACTTTCCCATAAGAAACCTGCGGGGTTGTTTTGAGTTTAGTTCAATGTATTCGCGAAGCCATGGAGATTGTGCAAATCGTAATATGCGATGGATCTTTGTGATACGGAGACCATGACGAGTACATTGCTGCAGATTGCGGTAGTGGATGACATACCGCTGCTTATCGCACAATGTTACGAGGAGCTTGTCTTCGCGCTTACCAGATGGTTTCTCGCGCGTCTGGTAAAACGGTAGGTCCGCGTGAACGTCATGAAGATGTTGCGGATGCTCCAAGTCCACCTCGAGAATATAGCCTGTCGGTGAATCGAGCGCGACAGTCGTAACATCAAAATTTTCTACATCGTCGACCCATTGAAAATCGGCGTATAGCAATGGTTGACACATTGCCCAACCGTACAAGTTGTTGACGTCATAATACATCAAGTACGTCGACGGTTTCGACGAATCATACGATTGCATATACTTGTTGTTAGCCCGCGCATATCTGTTCGAACACTGACTCAGACCGCCACGTATACCGCGTTCGATGAAAAGAACCATGTCAACGTCGGTAAGAAGTTCGAAATTAACGCGAGTATATTTTAACATTGCATTCCACGTGAAGCCCGATAAGATATAATAATACGCGGAGGCGAGCCCGTAACTCGCAACGCAACTATCTCGAAAATTCTCGAAAATGTCAGCCAACAACAAAACGTCCGTTTTTAAATATAGATCACTGTATTCGCCGAGGGTTCGAATGGAGAACCGCTGCCATACGTTCAAGGAGTGTGCTTGTAATCACTCTCAGATACCGTACTATCCGTCAATGAACTGTAAAACGATTCGCGAGGTGGTAAACATGTATCATCCAATTTTTCAACGCTGTCAATATACTCGTACGGAAAGATACCCTTTCGAGTTAAGAGATTAAAATCTTCTTCCGATAAATGAGAAAATTCGCGTTGCAGTACCCGCAGCTTATCCTTGCTGATTGTGAGAAAAGATGATAATTTGTCTAAATTAGAAGCGAGAAATTTATAAGAATCTATAAAACGTAATTGTATGCAATTTTTTTTTATCATCTATGGTGCTGTCGACGTGTTTGCTAAATGAGATATATTTTTCTTTAGTTATCGGTAAAAGATTAATGCGTCCTTCGTACGCGGTGGCAATTTCCTTGATAATAAAATGAGCGTCGTATCCTGATAATTATGAAAGACTACGGGTATGCAATGTGAATCTTTATAATTTAAATTGTAATTTGAATGTGCGGGGCCTCTGTATCGCCCGGTCAAATGGCAATGATCGCGTGCTCGCTTGTCGTCTTTCGCGAACGGTTTTTCGCACACGTGGCAGTGCGTAGCGCTGTTAAATTTTTGCCAGTCGTCTCGCGTAAAATCTACCATGGGAACATTGGTCGAAATTATAGTCTTTACACTATGCGCTAGATTTTTCAATTTGTCCGCGAACCACGCTATACAATTATTATCGCGGCGAAAACGATAACCCGACAGTGAGCTGTCGTACGAGCAGTGTACGTAATACGCTATACTAAACCTGATGATGTTTGTACGTGTACGTAGCTGATGTGGACTCCGTATCCATCTTCTCCAATGCACACTCTAAATCGGCGTAGACCACGAACGGGACGCACTCCTTCCTGCAATGGTTCTTGAACGTGAGCCACTTGTCGTCCTCGCTCGGTAGTAGGGTAAGGTTGCCAATATCGCACCGGCTTCTAAATCGCACTACCTCGTCTAAAAAATCAGTTATTTTATTTACACATTTTCTTACGGATTATTTACAAACTATAAGATATTTCAACGCTGCTGCGTTATATTTGTGACATGAAATGCAGTAAAAGCCTTGTTATTTACGTAAATAAAATAATCGTGATAGCGTTGCTATTTTTCAACATATTTCATAGCAAAAATGTAAAAAATATAAGTTAAATAATCTAATTTTCTACAATTCATCGTGTTTAAAACACTATTAGAATTAGATTAATTGAATTAAATTTTTTTTAACAATGTTGTTTGTAAATTAAATAAATAAAATTTTACAAAGTGCTACTGTTTCCTCAATCGCACCACAATGTAGTGCTTAAATCGCACCGCGCATATAGCAACACGGGACATACACATAACCACAATGCATGTCGCGCATGCTCGCGCAAGATCGCGCAAGCATTGTGGTTATGTGTCCATAACTTCTAGCACTACAGAGTAGTATACGTGTGGCGAGACAAAATTTTTCGAAATTATTCATTTGAAAAAGAAATTTGTTTATACGACAACGTATCTAAATACGGCAACTCCTTTTATCTCCTTATGTGGAGCATAGGACGTCTATAGACCTCTTTTGTCCGAGGCCTATATTCGTTTCTCGAATCAGATTGTTTTTCGGATTTGTGGGTGATTGGTCCACAGAATCCTACCTCAGTCAGATATTAGAGACAAATATCTACTGATATGTATACTACTGATGTATACGGATGGATAGGACCTACAGTTTAACGCCGAATCCGAACGGCGCTGATGATCATAGATCTTTTGATCACCAGGTGGAGCCATTTTTTGGCTCATTAAACGCGAAAAATCGCGTTTGGGCGCACGTGGGATTGAACTCGGGTCTACAAATCGCGAGTCAATCGCACAGAGCGGTGAGCCACTCGACGCCACATCTAAATAAGTGTATTTTTATTAAGATTTCAGGTGAGTGAGGTTCACATAATTTCTACATTCTCCTAACCTCCTAAATTGCACATTGTTTACATCGCGATTTTTGTTATTTTAATGTAAATATATACTTAATACTGCGATCGGAAATACTGAACCCCATGTCCGGATGCACCTGTGTATCATCCCTGTTTAAAATGGTGCTGTGTTCGGTTTGAACGCTTACACGCTTAACGCTGCATGTGCATTCATGATGTGTATTATAGAGGTCATCATTCTGTCTTTATCGTTCGTTAAACGTAAAAATAAGGATAAAATCTCTGACAGCGCTAAAAGCGTTCAAACTGGATGTTACCTAGATGAACAACAAGGTTAAAGCGATACATGGAGGCACTCGGGTTTCCAAACGCAACCTAAATGCTTATTTTCTTACAGAGAATGGAAAATGGCTAAAAAAAAAAAGACAATATGGAAAATGGAGTCCAAATTCCATGAATACTGCTATCAAAGAGTACTCGGATTGTAAAATAACGTTAAATAAATTAGAACGAAAATACGGCATTCCAAAAAAAACATTTTTACGACATTATCGGAATCAAGTTGCACGTGGAACAGAACGAGTTAATATGGATTCCGTGAATACCAGCTTTGACACGTGAATTGGAAAAAGAATTGATTGACGTTATTTTAAAATTTGAAATAAATTTGTTTGGATTAACTCCTCTTGACGTTAGGCGATTAGCAAATCAAATAGTCGAACAAAATTCTCTTCCCAATCCTTTTAACAAGGAAACACAAACAGCTGGCAAAAAGTGGTATTATTCGTTTATGAAACGTCATCCAGAGTTAAGTCTCCGACAACCAGAAAAGCTATCTATAAGTCGTGTCAAAGGTTTTAACAGAGATAATATCTTCCATTTCTTTGATATTCTTGAAAAAATTGTGGATGAAAATAAACTAAACGGATATAAAATTTTTAATGTAGATGAATCAGGTTTTCAAACTGTTCAGAAAAAAAATCCGAAAGTTTTGGCAATGAAAGGGAGAAAACGTGTAGGAGCTCTGACAAGTGCAGAGAGAGGTGTTAACACAACTGTGGTATGTTGTACGAATGCAGTTGGTGTATTTATTCCACCAATGATCATCTTCAAAAGATTACGTATGGATATTTCTTTGGCAAGCGGTGCCCCTGCGGAAAGTCTTGTAGAAATTTCAGAGACCGGCTACATTAATAGTGAACTTTTTCTGAAATGGTTCAAGCACTTTCTGGCATATGTACGACCATCTAAAGAAAATAAAGTGCTTCTTCTATTAGACGGACACACCACGCATTCAAAAAATCTGAATGTTATCAATCTGGCATGTGAAAATGGAGTGCTGCTACTACAATTGCCGGGTCATACCACCCATCGTCTCCAGCCTCTAGATGTCTCAATTTTTAAACCGTTTCAGTTATATTACGATGAAGCAGTAGTGAAATGGCACAGAACCAATCCTCCTCCTCCTCTGAGACAGTGCCACGTGTCTACTTTACTCTCTGAAGCCTATCTAAAAATAGCAACAATGAGCAACGCCGTGAATGGCTTCAAAGCTACAGGTATATGGCCGGTAGATCGTCATATCTTTAACAACACTGATTTTATAGCAGTTGATACATTAATGTCGCCAGAAAATTGCCAATCACCAGAAAATGAGATTGAAGAAACAATAGAAGGAATTAATATTCATGCTTGTTCAACTGAAAACAATTAATCGAGAAAGAAGCTCAAAACTGTCCATGAAATCTGTCCACTGCCTTGCCCAACTATTACAAGAAACAACAAGCTGCCTCAGAAAGCGGAGATTCTAACGACAAGTCCGTACAAAGAAAAACTCGAAGAACAACAAAAGAAGAAATCACAAAGAATTGCCAGAAAAGTCGAGTTACTTCCTGGACCGTCAACTTCAATTAATTCATCAAAACTAAAAACTACAAAACGTAATTTTAACAAGAAAAAGTCAACACAATCTAAAGAATTGCATTTTGCTGAGACAAAGATTGAAATAAATGAAGATGATTGTTATTGCTATCTTTGTCAACAGAATGTAGTAGAAGATATGGTGCAATGCATTTTATGCAAAAGATGGGCACATGAATCATGTGCACATATATCAAAAAAAGAATTACGTTTCATATGTGATTTTTGCACACAAGATTAAGTATTTCTTTATCTATTTTTTGTAAGCTATTTCCTTGATTGATAACATTTCTTCTTATAATTTTTCGTCTATTTCATTTAATATTACGTACAAATATAGGTATAATAGTTAAAAAGCATTAAAAGTTATGTTAAAATGAAAGTTCCAGTGCAATGTTTTGTACAAACGAAAGGCACATGAATCATGTGCACATATATCAAAAAAAGAATTACGTTTTATATGTGATTTTTGTACACAAGATTAAATATTTTTTTATCTATTTTTTGTAAGCTATTTTCTTGATTGATAACATTTCTTCTTATAATTTTTCGTCTAATTCATTTAATATTACGTACAAATATAAGTATATAGTCAAAAAGCATTAAAAGTTATGTTAAAATGAAAGTTACAGTGCAATGTTTTGTACAAAAGAAGGGCACATGAACTACATGTGCTTATATTTTAAAAGAATTTGAGTTTAAATGTAATTTTTCAATACAAAAAGTTTAGTTTTTAATTTATTTTCTCTATCCCCCTTCCATTTCCATCATTAATTATAATTCTTATATGTTTTTATATATATATATTTACAAAAATAGAACAAATAAAGGACTCTTTCTTTAAAAACATTATAAACGTGGAAATGGCATTGTAAGAGTCAAACGAAAAGAAAATTAACAACAAATTAATACATATATTCTAAAATGAACTTATAAAATTTACATAAATGTAACGATTAAAAAAACGGATGTTAATTACATTACTAGTTTCGACCAACAAATCTGGTCCTCTTCAGATGAAACACTTAACGTTGAAATGTACATAATTATGGACAAACATCAATACAAAAGAAAATCTTGTGCATAGTTAAATATATAACTGAAAACAATAAATGAACATATATTAATTAAAAGATTGTAATCTTAAATTCTAGGAATGAAAATTAACGATGCGCAAAACATACCAAA